CTTTTCTCTGTTAAAAATGGCTTGTAGGGTTTTTAAAAAATGTTCGAACTTCCGACTTTGACCTGAACCCAATATGGTACATCAATGTTCTTATCAAGCCTTAACCCTTCATTCGTATTTTCGACTGGGATTTTTTGAAGCGATTAGTGGCACGTTGCAACTTTTAGCAAAGAAACTTTTATAACTTTTTCCACAAGATGGATGTCTTGGCAGATTTCGGCAGATACGGAATCAGTGTTTTAGGCTGCAAGTAAAAGTAGGCATCCCTCCTAAACTGTCACCTCGACTAAGTATCCGCCCAGTTAGGAAACATGCTAAGGCCTCCCATCCACATTATAAATAGAAAGACTTGTTGTCACTAGAATCAAAGATGTTATAACTTAAAAAAAAAACTATAATATCCAATCAAATTCAATCAATCTCTTCCTGAAATCCCTAAACCTTTGAACGGCTCCTGATCCCGTCAGCTCCGTATAATTCCCTTAATCAACCTCAACTAATCTCATCAGTCGACCTTAATCCACCCGTATCGCTCCCCTTTTCGCGGTAAATACATTTCCGGTCACGACACCCTATCCCAACCTGTAATTTTCTACAGATTTTCGCTGGCGAATGACCAGCTGCACAGGCCGCGTCTTCTTTGAAGTTTGCATCATTAGTTGAAAAAGGAGACAACCGAACAGCGAGGCATGGTCCAGATGCACAGGTGTTTATTCATTATATGAATCTATTAATTTAGGACCCACTCTGGTTAACTTAGTGTAGAAAGTGTATGTAGCTGGACACAATTATCAAAAGCTAAAGGTATGTGCATAAAAACTATTCTAAAAATCCAAAAAAACACTACAGTAGAACAAAGCTACAAAGGTATTTAGCGTGCATGAAAACTCATATTCAAGGCAAAAAGCACTAAGATAGATATTTAAAAAATAAATCTGGTATATAGCCTATAATCTGCATTACAGTACCCACAAATTGCAAAAATAGAGAAAACCAACACGGAAATTTCTATGTAACTGAGTTA